GTCGTCTGCATATGCTAGTAAGACATTTCCTTCGTCAAGGTTTAATGTCTCAGTTCGCGGAATCTTTCTTATTACACTCTCCAGTGCCATGTTGAAAAGCACTGGTGACATCGCATCCCCTTGCTTCAATCCACTATTTATTGTAAACGAAGATGATATCTCGTTGTTCACCTTGACTCGGCTGCTGGTATACGTGTTACACAGTTTTATCATGTTGATTAATTTAGTTGGTAAACCAAAGTCTTTAAGAGTTTTCCATAGTTTTCCTCTATTTATGCTATCATATGCTTGTTTGTAATCCACAAAAACCATATGTAGATCTTTCGCGAACTCATAGCTTTTTTCCATAATTTGTCTTATGACAAATATGTGATCAGTAGTTGATTTATTTTTTCTAAATCCGCTTTGGTAATTACCCACTATCTCATCTGTATAAATTTGTAATCTTTTAAGTATGATTAATGAAAGTACCTTATACCCAGTGTTCAATAGTGTTATTCCTCTATAATTCTCTACTTTTTTTCGGTTACCTTTTTTGAAAATTGGACATATCAATGATTCATTCCAGTCTTGTGGTATCTTTTCCTTTGTCCATATCTGTTGAATTAGATGATGTAATTTTTGTGTTAGGTTTTGTCCTCCTAACTTCAATAATTCAGCTACAATTTTATCATCTCCTGGTGACTTATTATTTTTTAGAGTCTGGATTGCATACTGTATCTCTTCTAAACTCGGGTTTAATACTTCTGGTTCTACCGTATAACGTATGGTGTCGTCTTGTTCGTCTACTTCTTCCGTTGTTGAGCCACTGTTAAGGAGTTTTTTGAAGTACATTCTGAATTCCTCGGCAATGTTTTCCGGTCTTGTAATTAGAGCACCATTATTATCTTCTATCATCTGTATAGCTGGTATATATCCATTTTTAAATGTTTTGCAACGTTTGAAGAATTCTCTGGGGTTGTGTTTGAAGTTTTCAATCTCCTCTAATCGTTCTTTTTCCGCTATTCTCTTTTCTTTTCTTATCAGTGTAGTTATTTCTCTTCGTTTTTCCTCGAAGGCCCTTATGTTCTCGGGGGTTGGTGTATGGATAGCTTTGATTCTGGCTTCATTGCGTTCCTTGATTCCTTTCTTGCAATTATCATTAAACCATTTCTTTGTTTTCTTTCTTTGTGTATGTTGAATGACCTTTTCTGCGGATTCCGTTATTGAGGTTTTTATTACTTTCCATGACTCCTCAACCTGTTCATTATCTCCTCCCTCTCTTTTTCCTAGGAGATTAGTCACTGTTTCTTGAAATGTCCGTAATGTTTCTTCATTTCTTAATTTATCCACATCGTATTTTCCGAGTATTTTTTGTTTCTTTTTCCATTCCATGGACATCTTTACTCTGAAGTCAATCAGGATCAAGTAATGATCTGTGTCTGCGTCTGCTCCTCTGTAGCTTTTGACGTTTTTTATAATCGTCTTATATTTATTTTCTATGAGGACATGATCAATTTGGCTACTATATCTTCCTCCTGGAGATAACCACGTTTCTTTATGAATATTTTTCTTCGGAAATCTTGTACTGCTTATTACCATATTTTTACTTATTGCAAAATTAATTAATCTTATTCCGTTATTATTGCTTTGGTCGTGTAGACTATGTTTTCCAATCGTCGCTTTGTAAGCATTTTCTTTTCCCACTTGGGCGTTTAAATCTCCCAATAATAATTTAATGCAATGGCCTGGTAAAGCGTCATATACTTGTTCCAACTCTTCATAAAAAGCATCTTTTGCTTCTTCATTTCCTGATTCGGTTGGTGCGTATGCGCAAATTATTACCATGTCCCGGTGGTTCATATTGATCCGAATGTAACATATTCGGTCATTTATAGCCTTAAATTGCTTAATCCATGGTATTAGACTATTGTGCACGAGAAAACCCACCCCATTTTCATGCTTATTAGTCGTTAGACCACCATAGAATAATGTCATGTTACCTGTTGGTAGACATCCTTCACCTTGCCATCTCGTTTCTTGTAACGCTACTATATTTGCCTTATAACTATTTATTGCATCGACTAGTGTACCAAGGGCTCCTGCTTTATATAAAGTTCTTACGTTCCATGTGCCAATCCTAAATCCTTGTAGTCCGGGCCGTTTCCATTGTGTTTTATCCAAATCTCTGTCCCGAGGCTTTAGTTTTGGTTTCTTAACAGTAGAGTTTTTTACAGTGACGGGTTGTTAGCCCGTCGCCAAACCCCCAACCTGGAGGACCAGACTGAGCCAACCGGTTAAGGTCAGCTCAGAGCTCGGGGCCCCGGGTTCGCCAAACCCGTAGTGCTAATTACTTAGCACCCCCCTGAGGGGAAAAAATCTGTTTCTATATAGTTTAAATAACATTTGTTAAATAATGTATATTATATACATTTGAATATTTTTTTGACACATGAGTTGGCAAATTTAGTAATTGTAAATGTTTTTAAAAAGGAAAACAAAAATTTTGAATTTTTTTAGAAAAAAAAGTCTTTTCCTTAATGTATTATGCGTATTCAACATAAAACATATATTTGATATATCTATACCATTGATTAGTGTACTACCCTCTTACGCAGGAAAAATATATAGTTCGTCCAATTTTAACTATATTAATGTAGAGACAAGATTAATTTTTAGATGGCCCAATTAGATGTTTTGTTAGAACATCTTGTTTATTAGTTATTTCAACTAGAAATGTATTGAGCCCCTATAATATGCGTACTTTTAGTGGGATCAAATTTTTAATAAGTCAGTCCAGCTAAAAATGTATTGTGCCCTCAAATTAACCATAGTTTTAGTTGGACCAACTTTGTATTTTGTAAAGAGTAACTTATTCACCTTAATTTATAGGTCAAATAATATATTTACACATTTTCACTTATTTTGTTTGAAAAATATCAGGAGGAATATTCAAAATATTCCACAATAGTTTAATGCAACGGTAACCAAAATTGCTTATAGCTAATGAAATTGTTATTTCGGCCTTCCTTTTTTTTAAAACTAGATATGAGCTGTTGTTTTCCAAATAATATTGCCATTTGCGTCATACTTTAAAAAATCTTTATTTATATAGTTTGAATAAAATTTGTTAAATAATGTACATTATATTCATTTGAATATTTTTTTAACACATAAGTTTCCAAATTTATTAATTGTAAATGTTTTAAAAGGGAGAACCAAATATTAGAATTATTAAAAAAAAAAATGTCTTATCCTTAATGAATCATCTGTATATATCAAAAAATACATATTTCATTTATCTAAACCATTGATTGGTATACCACCCCTCAACACAGAAAAAATATATAACTAGTGTAACTTACATTTTGATTAGTATAGTGGCAATTAGTATAGTTTATTTAGTTCTTTTAAATAGAAATATATTGAACAACTATAATAAGTGTACATTAATTAAGACCATTTTTGTTAAGAACTCTGTCCAACTAGAAATTTATTGTAAAAAATAATTTAATATAAAAAAAGGGTCTTATCCTTTATGAAACATCGGTATACAACAAAAAATATATACTTGACATATCTTACCAACCTTCAACACAGTATAAATATATAGTTTAAACCACATTTGTTAAATAATGTATACTATATTCATATGAATGTTTTTCGAAACATAAGTTAAAAATTAAAATGCAAAACTTAAAAGCCAGTACATTTGGGTCGGGGCTTAAATTTAAAGTTATTTTTTCCGAAAGGTCCAGTACAGTAGAGACCGTACCACCGTACACAGGTTAGCATTGAAATGAATTTTGTCACTTGTGTGGATAACGGACCTCGTTTTAACGCGTTCCTTCTGTTCTGGTTTATACTGTGCTTGGTTTAGCGACTGTACTTGTTTAAACTTAGTACCCACTGAGTTGCATCAAAGGGATTACTTAGAAACCAATTCTATTGAGAAGGTGCCTCTAGTGATCAATAATTGACGGGTATAATTTTTGTTAAATTTTGACTCGCCCAGAGATGTTAGTCTAACATACCATTTTTAAAGAAATAGAATTTTTTTTTGCCATGTTTTAAAAATTAAGGCAATTTGCTGTTGGTTGATTTGTGTTGTAGGCTTGTTTGTGTTTTGGTTTGGGTAGAATTAGTATACGTGGAACACGTAGAGACTTGCCATGGTTTGCCGCTAAAAATCCCGGGTGGTCACCCATCTGGGACCAAGCAGCAACGGACACAGCTTAACCTCAGGTTCTTCGCGGCAGCTTAGGTGTCCACTGCTCAAAAAAATGATGATTTTGTTTTTATTTCTTTTTTTACAAGTTACAGATATAAAATAAACCTATACTCAGTCTAATTTTCAGCTCTAAGTCTAAAACGAAAAAAATGTCAATCCATTAACGAAATTTGATTAGAGGCTATTCGGGAATAGTGGCATGCCCAATAAATGTTTTAAAAAAATTGCGCTTAGATCCGACCGTTTTTCGCTAAATTCTAGTGAGGTAAAATTCAAAGTCTAAAAACCGGCAAATTGTTTTCGATTTTTGTTGGTTTTTGAGGGTGAAGAAGCTGATTTTTCTACTTTTATTCCAACAAAGTACCAATTGCAAACCATTTCGGATACATAGAGATGATACTCAAGTAAATCGGTCCAAAGGAAAAAAATACGTGACCCTTCTTTTTAGATATTAGGTTTATTTTTCAGTTTTTCTTAAACAAAAGGTTAACAGCAGATTTTTAAGAAAATTGTTTGTTTGTGTTATTGTTCCATTCTAGATTATTCTAGATATGTTCTTTAGATAGGGCACTATCGATAAACGTTGAAAATATATGCATATATTTTGCACATGAGTAAACAGTTTTAAAATGTATATGAATGCCATACAACGCAAATAAAACCGTTCTTAAATGTCTGTTGCTTAAAGCAAATTGCATGGTTCAACAGTTAAAACTTGGTACTGTTTTCATTCCATAAGTATATGTTCTTGTAGTAAGTACTGCGGATATTCGGGAAAACCTTATTTGAATCACAGTCATCAAGTAATAATAAAATATTCCCATAACATTAAAAATCGTCATAGGAACTGTTATCGAGTATTTCAAAAAAACAGTTTTTACTTCCAAAAAAAAAAAATTAAATATTCTGAATCCTAGTTTCTTGTTTAAATATTTAAAATGTTTTCAAAAACCGTGATACAGATTTTTTGCGTGGCATTTTATTTTATGCAATGTCAAGGTGCTGGCCCTACTAAACAACAACTTGTAAGCATAACGAGTACTTATTATTTATGATTAATAAAAAATGCCGAGATTGCTGCTTAACAATTTACAAAATGTAAAATATTTTTTAAAAAATGTATTATTGTTTTCCCTTCTACATTTTCTTACCAAAGAGTTATTTACGTAATATTTTCACTTATAACCAATTACCGATAACAAAAAAAAAAAACTTTAACTACTATAAAATGTATGTTATTATGCTGAAAAAAATTCGCAAGCCATATTATATGTCTAATAAATTAGGCTTTTTTTTTTTTGGTTAATGAAGGAACAGTGTAACTTGCAAATTTTAAAATAGAACTAAATGAGTACATTTTGTTTTTATACCAATAGCAAATCATGAGCAAATGTCAAGGTGCTGGCCCTACTAAACAACAACTTGTAAGCATAACGAGTACTTATTATTTATGACTAATAAAAAATGCCGAGATTGTTGCTTGACAATGTATAAAATGTGTATCTAATCTAATATAAGTATCTATCGCTTAAAGCAAATTGTATGATTCAATAGTTACAAACTTGGTAATGTGTTCATTCTTCAAGTATATTTTCTTATAGTAAGTACTGCTGTTATTAGGGAAAATCCTATTTGAATCACAATTATCAAGCAATAATATAATATTCTCATTACATTATAAAATCGTCATAGATGACGTTTTCACAACGGCTTTTTACTGCTAAAACTAATAATTTAACATTCCGTATCCAAGTTTATCGGTTGAACACTTAAAATGTATTCAAAAAACATGATTCTGTTTTTTTGCGTTGCATGGTATGTTTTGCAATGTCAGGGTAATCTCCCCAATAGCAGCGATCATGTAAGTAAAACGGGCAGTAATATTTTAACTTTTATTTTTACATTAATAACCAATTATTGATAACAATAATACAAAAAAAACTTTAACTACTATAATATTTATGTTATAATGCTGAAAAAATTTGCAAGCCATATAATATGTCTGGTAGTTCGGCATTTTTATACCGTTAAAGAAGGATCAGTTTAACTTGCAATTGTAATATCCAATTAAATGAGTATATTTTATTCTTATAACAATAGGAAAAAATAAAAAAAATAGTCAGTGAACATCACAAGCCGAGTGGCTTGCACTACGAAGATTTATTAATTGTTTTTGACGAAGTAAAACAAGCAACGGGCGCACGTGGAAACTTCCCCAGCCGTGATGAATTAGAAGTAGATGGTAATAAATAATAGAATAATATTTAACAATGTGTGTTGAGTAATATAAACAAATCTATTGAAAAGACATTTTAGTAATCAAGTCTGTCATTTGTAAAACTGTAAATTGTAGTCATAAATTATGAACTAATTGAATAATTTTAAAAAAATTACACCATTTTTTTATGGTGTTAATTTTAGTAAAATATGAGATGCATGATAGGATTTTAAAAAAAAGCCCGGTTAGCGGGGTGGTGACAGGGGGACAGGGAGGTCACAGGCTTGCAGGAATTTATTACAACTGAAAATGACAAAATCACTTTCGAACAAATGCGTTAATGCGAATCAGTAATTAGTATTTTAAAACCAGTGCGGTCCAAACCAAGCACAGTATAAACCGGTATTTTAAAAAATGAGGTTGCGTGAGGTGCGTTGTTACCAATTAGCATCAAATCGTTTATTTGAAAGTGATTTTACCCTAAAGGACTAGTACAAACTTTAAAACTCGTATGGTTTTTTTTATTTTCAAAGTTTTTACTGTGATGAAGTAAACATTTTCAATTTGTAACACCCTACCCCCCCCCACAAGTTCCAACTAGATAAATTTTGTGTTTTATAGGGTTTCTATAATAATAAAAAATAAAAAAACTAACATGTATAACTCTCAATGCCTTTGCTGTTAAATTTGTCAAATGTTATTTTTCAAAAAGATACTTAACATTTTGTTATTTCAGATTTTACGGAGCGTTACTATACGAAAGACGAAGTTTTAAGTATCGTCCGAGATACTGTAGGTGGCGATAGTATGACGGTAAATAAAAAACTTAAATTACTATATTACAGTTTAAAGGTTGGTTAGGTGGTTTTTTGCGGGGAAATTTGAAGTATTCAAACTTTCAATTATTCTATGTAAAATTGGTTTAATTTATTCTTAAAATTATAATAAGTACTTAAAATGTATGATTAATACATTTCTAAGATTATTGCTGGTATAATCAAACTGTAAATTATTGTTTAGAAAATTAATCCTATATTTTTAACGTTTACATTATTTTTCTAAAAATGTTTTAATTGTAAATTTTAATACACATTTTAATGTCTAATCTTTTTCCGATAACAATAGATAACGATAAATAAGTTTTTTGAAGAAAAAAATTATTCATATAATATAAACTTTGAAGAATTATGTCGTGTCTTTCGACATTTAAATAAGCGATCTAGTCATGTTGTCAAAACGGATCTGTTAAGTAATAAACAATAGAAAAATATTGAATAAATATTTTGAGAAAAATTTTCAAAATCTATTGAAAAGACATTTTAATAACAAAATCTATCATTAATGACACAACTATAAATTATATATTTTTTTATTAAAATGAAACGTAATATGTAATTTGACATTATTATTCTTCAATTATGAACATTTGAAATAATGATCTTTTACAAGTGGGAAACATAATTTTTCTCAATATATTTTCTGTTATATTGACCTGATTAATTTGATTAAAAAATGTATAATACTTTGTACTTTCAGAACGCACGTTTCCTGTTTTGGAGGAAGCTGATATCATTGGCCACATTGTTAAGAATTTAAATTTTTAGTATAGTATTAACTGTTAATTAATTAGTGCATGTAAGAACTATGTAATATCTCACATACAAAAATTTAGTCTTGGTTGATTAATAAAGTCATTTTTCTCTTACATTTCATTATTATATCGTTGGTATTTATTGTAGATTTTTGATTATATTATTAATTGTTATTAAATGAATGCATACATGGAATATGTCACTTATAAATGTAATTTTAATTGATTAGTAAATCATTTTGCTCTTATATTTCGTTGGTATTTATTTTATTACTTCAAGTATTAATACCCGATCCCAGCAGATTATGATTATTAAACATATCATGGATATGTTTAAATTTAAGTTTTTTTAAGGAAAATTTTCTACAACCATTTTGAAGCTGTATGTTTTATGAAATTTACAAACACTGTTGGTGAACTAATTTCCAATTAAGACCTTTATCAGTGTATTTGAAGAAAACTAAAAACTAATTACAAAAAATACGAATCAATATAATTCAGTACTTTCTTAGCTTCACTTTGAATCTAAGATAGGAATTACTTGTATTTTAAATTCACTTTATATTATAATCTTTTATGTTTTAACATAATAAGAGTTGTCAATTTTTACAAAAAAATGTGTATAGTTTTATTGTAGTTTTTAGCTTCGATACAAAGCGAGAAGGTATTGGTTTTACTCTGATGTGTGTGTTTTTTTTTTCTGTATACACTGTAACTTTTTTAATACTAGATCAATTCCTTTGAATAGCAACTCTATAAATCACGAATTTAGTCTAGTTGGTACTTTGGGGGGGGGGGGGGTAAAAGTTGAAAAAGTTTACTTCTTCACAGACGAACTTTAGCAAAACCAAAAAACAACCGTACGAGTTTTTAAGTTAGAACTTTTACTGGCTATAGTTTCGAGAAAAAGAGTCGGATCGAATTGAAATGTATAAGAAATATTTATTTGGTATGCCCGCACACGTCAGTTGTGTCAAATTTAAACTATATCCATTTGCCACCCCCTTAGGAGGGGTACAAGTTTTTTTGTTTTTCGGAGTTTTTAGCCGTAATTTTAAAACTTTTGGGTTGAAAAGTTGCCAGTAGTTGGCACTCGTATCCATAACATATTAAACGGGAAAAAAATTCGGCACTACAGTTTTTTATTAATTGCCGGAAAACTGTGTTTTCCCAGATTGCGTATATTTTAACCAAAACACCAAAAATCTTTAAAAAAAAATTATCAAATCATTAAAAACAATTTTATGTATATCTATGCAGAATGATACTATTAAGTTTTGTGCTCAATTACCACTTTTGACTTAAAGTTAACAGAAATTTTTTTTTTTTTTTATCTAAAAACCCGGTGTACCAGATGTGAGAATCGAACAGACACTAAAAACTATGAGTTGGTAACGTCTATCCGTGTTAGGTTAGGTTAGGGCCCAATGGTCGTTATCATAATATTGTGTTTATTACATGATATCACAGACGTCTTAATCATGTAACTGATTATAGTAGACACAAGATTTATTGGGAAAAGAACCTATCCGTGTACTTTTTAAAACACTTAATGATTCTGATACGACAAAACCACTGTCGTTATCTCGTTATTTTATCGCCTGCGTTATATTACCGTACCGAAGGTCAACTATGAGTATATAAGGTCCAACTACCTGCAAATTATGAAGAGGACTGTTGTTTTTTGGATTCAGATTAAGTGTTGGTTTTTATGCAGTATACCGCCCCAAAATGTATTTTTTATTACACAATTTTTTTAAAGGAACACTAATGTTTTGCATATTGCTATACTGTAAATCATTTAAAGAGATTCACGCTTGATTGTTTAAATTATCTTATATAAGATACGTAATCTGCTTCGTGCTAGTTTTAATTTTTTAGTTTATAATTTTGTAGCTCTAATTTTGTATAAAATATTTCATTATTTTATTACTGTGTTCAAGTTAAGATGTATTTTAATAGTATTTAAAAGTCATGAATAATAGTACTTTATTTTATGACTAGATCAAATCTCGTGAACATTTAACATCATGATACTGCTCCTATACTATTATTAAAATCTCCATAAAAGGTTATTGTTAAATGTACTGGCATGAAAATACTAACTACCGATTTGCATCGAAGCGTTTTTTCGAAAGTGATTTTATCACTTTCAGATTTAAAAATTCCTGTATTTTTCTTCGAAGGTTCTTCGATTAAGGCAGTGTAAACAAATGAAAAAAACGAGCTTCTTTTTGTAACAAATTTGTTTTTGATGCTTATGTTTGAATGCATTGTAGAACGTTATTGTTATAATAACTGGGGCTTGTATCTATTTTTTTTAAATTTACATACAGTTGATGTATTGCGTTAAATCTGAATTGTTTTATAATTATAACTTATTACAAGGAGTTTTTGTAAAATCATTTATCGTGTAAATTGTAATCCAATATTGTAATATTGTTTTTTTTATCAAAATCAAGCTGTTTTTCACAGTGACTGTTGTAATGTAAACAAATGGTAAGTTCCTACAGGTATCACAAACTTTTAATATTATAAGAATCTTCGTATTTTATAAAAACAATTTGTATGGTTTCATTATTTATTTTATTATCGAAAACGAGGTGTTTTTCTTAACATATTTTGTTTTTAGTTGTTTTTGTATCTAAATGTTTGACCTATTTTATTTCTTCCACGGTAGCATTTTGATGTTTCAATAATTATGCATATATTATTTTTAAAGATTTGAAATAGATTGTAAATCCTACTTTTATCGATATCCAATAATGTACAAAACCTAAATTATAATTATTTTATATTATAATTGGGTGCTGTGATATTGTAGCGTTGTATTAACACGTTTTTTTTGTTGGTATTTTGAGTATTTTACAATGGTTCTACAATGCAAGAAAATAAATAGTTCAAACATTTAAGTACACAAATAACATAATCAAATATTTTTAAAACCAACTTGTTTACGAAAAAAAATATATTGTTCTGTAATAGTAGTTTTTGTAATGTATAATGTTAAAATTTATTACAACAAATTTTGTAAAAAACAACTTGTTTTCGATAAGATAGAAAATAAAATTGTAGTAATAGTTAAAAAAATATTGTATATTATATTATAAGAAAATAAATCGTTAAAAATTTGTGTAAACATAAGGTTAAAATAAACTTTATAATGCAAGTTGAATGCATGTTATATTAATGATTAAACTTATCAGGTTTCTGAATGTAATTTTATGACTAAAATGGCGAAATGACATTATTTATATTATTATGTTCTGTGATAATACGTGATCAACTTCTCGTTGATAAACGTTTCAAAAGTTTATTTGACACTCTGTTGATCTACTAATCTACAATTAAACCCTTATAGTCAGTGTATTTGACGTTATCTAAATACCTTTAAAAGGAAAACTCGACATAATGAAATCC